GCAACATGCTGTGCTTCACGGAGACATGGCTGACCCCCACCGTGCCGGACCGTGCCGTAACTCCGTCGGATTCATTCTTCGTGCTCCGCGCAGACAGAACAGCAGAGTCGAACAAAACAAAGGTGGAGGAGTGTGTTTCATGGTAAACAGAAAGTTGTGTGACCTCAGGAGCATCTCTACTCTCTCCACCGGCTGCTCGCCACATCTGGAATTCCTGATTCCTAATTTCTGAGCATTAAGTGCTGCCATTTCTACCTTCCCCGTGAGTTCACCTTGGTAATCGCTGCAGTGGTCTACATCCCACCCCAAGTGGACACAGGTATGGCTCTATCCGAACTACATTATGTGCTGAGTGCCTTTCAAAACAGGGATCTGGGCTCAGCCCTCATTGTAGTAGGAGACCTAATGAAGCGAACCTCAGACAAGTCATGCCGACCTTTCACCAACATATCACGTGTCCGACGAGGGGATAGGATACTGGACCATTGCTACACGCCATACAAGCAGGGCTACAAGGCTGTTTCACACCCGGCCTTTTAGGAAGTCTGACCATAACGCCATCTTCCCCATCATCCCAGAGTATAAGCAACACATTCGGAGGGATGAAGTAGCTACGAGGGAGGTGAAATGCTGGTCTCCCCAATCAGAAGCTACGCTACAGGACGCGCTCAACGACGTCGACTGGGACATGTTCAGAGCATGCGCAGTCGAGTTTACGGATGTAGCAGTATGCTTCGTAAACACGCTAGTGGATGAGATCATCCCCACTGTGACAGTCGTGACATTCCTGAACCAGAAACCGTGGGTGGACAGATCGATCCGCGCTGCAGTGAACACCAAGACCGCCACCTACAACGCGGGTCTCGCCACTGACAAAAGTGCCCAGCAGACTGTTCACAAAGCTCAGGGATCTGGGACTTAACAGCCGTCTGTGTGCATGGGTGTTGGACTTCCTCGCTGGCAGAACTTAGGTGGTGAGGGTGGGCAGGTGCTTCTCCAACAGCATCACCATCAACACAGGAGCACCTCAGGGATGTGTCCTCTCGCCACTGCTCTACTCCCTCTACACTTCAGACTGTGTGGCCACCCACGGCTCCAACACCATTGTGAAGTTTGCTGACGACACAGTGGTGTTGGGTGCCATCTCCAACAACGATGAGACGGCCTACATGGATGAAGTGAAGAATCTGGCATCGTGGTGCCAGGACAACCACCTCCAGCTGAACGTCAGCAAGACCAAGGAGCTGGTGGTGGACTTCAGAAGGGGTCAGCACAGAGACTACAAGCCCATTAGCATCAACGGAGCTCCAGTGGAGAGGGTGCAGTCCTTCAAGTATCTTGGTGTCCACATCTCCTCAGACCTGACATGGGCTGCCCACATTCAGGTCCAGACCAAAAAGGCTAGGCAGCGCCTGTATCACCTACGACAACTGAGGAAGTTCAGGGTCTCTCCAAAGATCCTCAGGATTTTCTATACAGGCGCTGTGGAGAGCATCCTCACACAGAACATGACATCGTGGTTTGGGAACAGCTGTGTGAAGGACCAAAAAGCTCTCCAGAGAGTGATCCGTACAGCAGAACGCTGCTCACTACAGCACAAGACACTTTAACACCCTCCTCACGCAACGTACACAAGCTGTAAATTTCCACATTGTTTTATTTGATTTTATTCCTATTTATATAATGCACATAACTCACCCACTTGCTGCACATAATGCTCTCCTTGTATGTACTCATTCACTGTATATAAAGTTCTGTCTGTCTCTCTTTGCACAGTCGAGGAGCGTATCAGGTCACATTTCACTGCGTGTTACACCTGTATAACCATGCACGTGACAAAGAAAGAATCTTGAATGGCGAGACGTTCTCTCGCTGACAATGCAAAACTTTATTGGCCAATAGTTGCTGATCTATCGGCCGGGCCTGTGGACCGAGGGCTGGTGCTTCGTAGTTATCTAATGTATCACATGCGTTTTTCAAAATGCTCAGGTTTTACAGCAGGTGATGTTTTACATTTCGTAAAGTGTAAGTCTGTTTCGTGGAAGGTCAGGTTTCAAAGTTCGTGACAATATCAGATTTCACAGTTTAGTTAGACTAGTTTAGGTTAGTTTGGTTAGTTTTCAACCATCTGACAGGTTAATTCACCTTTTCATAGAAAAGTCAAACCAAAGAGGACCTACAAGCTATCCCTGTGGGACTCCATATGCAGCCTCTGTTGCAGACATAAAGCAGTTCTGACAGATGGCTCATCATCTAGTCTGTAAGTTCTCAGGAGCATAAAGACAAATGAACATAAGGAGGGAGCAGCGCCTCATCAAAGGTCTAAATATACAGACAGCAGTTTCTGTCCCCAGCTCATGTTCTCATTGGCTCATTCTTTCAGACGGTCATCACCTGCATCGGGACTCTGAAGAAGAACATGGCAGATGAGGACGGCGTGAGCTGCCTGGTGATCGGGACGGAGAGCGGCGAGGTCTTCGTTCTCGACCCCGAAGCTTTCATCATCCTCTCCAAGGTAAAGTCACTCCACGGCCCACTGTGGGACCAACTGCATCTGTTTATTTACTTCTAAGCAGCTGAGGCCAGCCTGTGGAGCGCCACAGGGATCAGCAGTGGGCCGCTATCAGATGCACTCACTGAAAGATTTAGACACATTTCTGAGACGTCCTGCAAAGTAACCCCCGTCCCGAACACCGGTCGTCTCTCTGTTTACCTGAGAGCGAACATAAAGAAAACAAAGGTCACTTTTTAACTGAACCCTTGTGTTGAAGATGACGCTGCCCGCCGTCCCCACCATCATGGATGTGACGGGTCAATTCGATGTGGAGTTTCGCATCACGGCGGTGTGTCGCAACGGCAACATCTACATCCTGCGCAGGTGAGGCACACCTGTAGATTCCTTTCACAATAAAGGCTGTAAAATGGGAGGAGTGGGCTGATGCTAACATCTCCAGATAGAAGTGGAAGCACATCGTTAACCTTTTAGCAAAAGGCCCGATCATTTCATGAACCCGAACAAACAGAACGTAAATATGAGTCTAAAAAGAAGTACGGGAACCCCTCGGGACAGGAACCCGGTCTGCTGCGTGAAAGTCCTGACCAACCTGTCCGAACATCTGACCCACGCTGGTCAATAGAGCAGAATGAAGCACAGCTGTCTGTGAAACGTTCGTGGAGCAGAGGCCGGTGTGACAGGGCCGACGTCATGTCCCTGTGCAGGGCAGGAAGCTCTATCCCTCGCTCTCGTCCTCTGAAAAACACTTATCTTCCATTTTCATGTTCCAAAGTGCAGTTTAAACTTGATTCCACTGCGACATCATCAGTGAGCAGAGACACACCTACAGAGCTCCGAGTTTCAGGGCCAGACGAGCGTAGCTCAGTGTTTCCTTTTTCCTTCAGCGGTGATGAAGCTGCAGCAGATACTCGAGAATATTCTTTAACATCTTACGGTCCAGTAATAACGACTTTGTGGTCGCGCTGCTGTGTTGATGTTGGACTGCTCGCCACTCTGTCGGTGTGTGGACAATAAGCTCCCTGACCCTGACACACGTTTCCTCGTTTGTGCGTCCTTCAGGGAGTCGGACAAACCCAAGTACTGCATCGAGCTGTCGTCTCACGCCGTCGGCCTGGTGAGAGTCGGGAAGAACGTGGTGGTTGGCTGCACTGACGAGACCCTGCAGGGCTTCACACAGAAGGTAAGCCCCGCCCCTGCAGCCACATGTTTGTGAATCTCAGAACTTGGGAGGGGGTGCGGTCGCGATAAACCATGTTTGTGTTTGATGTTCAGGGGAAGAAGCTTTGGAAGACCGTGCTCGCCGCGCCCATCGTCACCATGGCCTCCATGGACCTCCCTACCAGGGGCTTCCAGGCGGTTCTGGTGGGTTTGGCCAACTGTGAGGTGCAGCTGTACCGGGACAAGAACCTGCTGAGCACCATCAAGACCCCCGACGTGGTCACCAGCATCTGCTTCGGCCGCTACGGCCGCGAGGACGGGACCCTCATCATGACCACCAAGGGTGGCGGTCTGATGGTGAAGATCCTGAAGAGGACAGCGTCGTTCGATGACAGAGACAGCGCCCCCGGCCCGCCACTGGCCCAAAGCGTTCGCCTCAACGTGCCCAAGAAGACGAAGCTGTACGTGGACCAGACGCTGAGAGAGCGGGAGAGCGGCCTGGCCATGCACCGCGCTTTCCAGATGGACCTGAGCCGCCTGCGGCTGGCCGCCGCCAAAGCCTACGTCAAAGCGCTGGAGTCCAGCCTGACGCCGATGTCCGCCAGCCTCGCTGAGCCGCTGAAGATGAACGCCGTGGTGCAGGGTCTGGGCCCGTCCTTCAAACTGACCCTGAATGTCCAGAACACGGCGGCGTGCCGGCCCGTCACGAACCTCGCCATCAGCTTCCTGTACGACGAGAGCCTGTACCGGATGAGGAACCCCTACATGAGGATCCCACTGCTCGTGCCCGGGCTCATCTACCCCGTGGAGACCTTCGTCGAGTGCACCAGCGACAAGGGCATCTCTGACGTCATCAAGGTGTTTGTCCTGCACGAGGGGAGGAGCTCGCCGCTGCTCACCGCCCACATCAACATGCCCGTGAGCGAGGGGCTGACGCTCAACTGACCGCACGACAGCACTCGTCATCCAGGCTGGACGTGCAGATGTGAGGTCGTCGCTACGTTTCCCAGTTTTTTATTCTTCGTTTGTTTTCATCGTTTAATCCAGAAAGACTTTCACACGTTTACGCTAATGACGCAAATTTATGAGATTCAGAAACGCCAACCTTTGTCACGTGACCACGAAACTCGTCAGCCCGTCTCTGCCCCGTGTGACCAGGACATCGTGTGTGCGTGCGTGTTTTCATGTGTTGTGATTGTCACGTTTGTAAAGTTTGTATAGAAACAGTTTTAATGGAGAATAAAATAAAGGGTCAGAGTGTGAGGTGTGTTTTCCTTCAGAGATTTTAACGTTTGTGTTGGTTTAGACTCCAGATGAGTTTTCTTCACTGTAACAGAAACAGCTGAAGCTCCGAGAACATCAGGGCGCTTCAGCACAGACTCTGGTGTAGTCCTGACCTCTGAGTTCGTTCACTCAGTCTGTGCTGTGGAGACGAGGTCACGTCAGGGAACGACAGAGGCCAACTCAAACACTCAGATTAACCGCTGACCTGTTGGCTCGAGGACCCCGCATGCGCGATGGTCACTGCGGCCGAGCCTTCGGACCCATCAGAACTGACACTCGGATGATTTTAACTCATTTTCACTCTGTTTGGACAGCTGCTGTCTCAGGGGTCAAAGGTCACACGTTTCCAGGGTTTCACGTTTCGTGGTCCTGCTCAGTTTGTCACATTCAGGTGATGAACTTGGAAAACACATCAGTGTAAGCAATCAGAATGTTTTCTAGGAACAACGGCTGAAGACAAAAGTGAGAAAACCAGTGAAAACAGTCACAGACTCACTGACAGCACGTAAACGTTATAATTCGTCACGTCATTGTATCATTCATGTATAGATCTTGTATTACATGATCGTCATTTTATGTTAGTTTTCACACTGAGGAGCGTCAGCTTAATGTCACGATGAACTCCTGAATCTGTATGATCCATGAGGCACAAGCAGGCCGTCAGGCAGGCTGAATATTACAATATTATTATAGTATAACAGTGATCTGAGCCGGAGCTGCTGACTGCAGAGAGCTGGATCGTTGGTCTGCACAGCGACTGATGCAACACAAATACAAACACTGAGTTTCATCATTGCCGTTTTCTCTGCTGTGGCGAAATAACGAAAACTCCTGAAAGTGTTTGTTTGTTTTCAGCCTTTAAAGTCTGCGAGACGACGAGCAGGCGCTCAGCCTGAGGGTCGCAGCTGAAGATGAGACGCCTCCTCGTTTTACTGGGTGAGGAAACTTTCAAAGATTAAACCGTCACTGTCATGGTCCTGCGGCCATGACTCAGTGACTTTGTGTTTGTGTTCCTTATTGTTATTATTCTCTTTATTATTCATGGGCTGTTTTGGGATTTTAGGTACTGGGTTTTGGGTTTGTGCTCCCTCTATTGGTCCCTGGTGTTAGTGTTCCCCTGTCTCGTCAGGTTAATCAGGTCCAGCTGTGTCTCCCACCTGTGTGTGATTTCCCAGTGTCTCTTTGTGTACTTATAGTGTGTGATTTCCTCTGCTCCTCGTCGCGTCGTCTGTGTTCATCCTCTGTGTTACCCTGCGTACTCTGCATTTCTCCGTGAATCCCCTGCGTGCTCTCCCTGCTGTTCTCCCTTCATGTTCAGGTTTGCCACTCCCTTTGTGTAGTTTCTCCCAGTTTAGTTCATCCTTAGTTCTGTTTGCCATCTCCACTTTATGTTCAGTATTGTCAATAAATCACCTTCACATCTGAGTAAGTGCTGCATCTGAGTCCTCCTTTCCACTCTTCACACGGCCGCTGCCCCGGACCGTGACAGTCACAGCTTAAAGCTGCCATTCTTTGAACTCGTATTATTTCTGAGAACAGCATGTAGCATGTGAAAGTTCACTGTGGATGACACAGAAGGACGAAATTTAAATGTAAACTGACCTTTGTGACATTATGGGGACCTCCATACATGGGCTCACCAACCACACAGGGACAGATTCAGTCCCTGCAGTGTAACAATGTAAATTTTGGGGTAAAAGCTTGATTTGCATGTTTTTAAATACACTTATTTAAAAACAGAACAAAATGTTTACCTTTTAAAGAAAGAATATATGAACAGATGAACCGATGTTGTTAACCAGGTGATGTTGTTTACTTTTGATCAGTCAGGTGTTATCAGTGTTTACACCTAATCAGCTGATCACCCGAGTCACGCTGTTATTCTCTCAGCACGTTTAACAATTCAAAGATCATTTTTAAACATGAAGTTGTTTCTAGAAGACCAAATCCACTTTGTAACTTAATTTATTGACAAGGTTTGTAATAAAACCCAAGGCTGTGTCCATAAAAGTCTAAATCTGTGTGTGTCCAGCTGTTTTGTGGGTGTGTGACGGCGTTAAGTTCGGTCAGCTGTGCAGCAGTAACCCGTGCAACAGCCGGAGGACGTCGGACAGATGGGGACAGGGACAGTACGGAGCCGGACGGTACTCAGAGATCACGTTTTTGTTGTAAGGCTGGTGTGGACGATGTGGCACAGCTGCTCACAGCTGGATGTCTGCTGGTTACAGGGGGACCAGACTCCACCAAGGGCTGGACATCAAGTGCAGCGACGGCGCCGCTGTCTACGCTCCGTTTGACGTGACTCTTAACGGGAAACTGACCGTCTACACCGACCCCAGTAAGGCAGCCATCAACGAGGGCATCAACCTGTCAGGACAGGGTGGGTCATCACGCGCAGCCAGCACTAACAGAGTTACTGATCCTGGTACTGATTCACTGATCGAGGTGTTGCGTTTGCGTCCTGCAGGTCTTTGTTTCAAGCTGTTCTACGTGAGGCCGGACCGAACCTCAGGAACGGTGAGGAAGGGGCAGAGGATCGGCACCATGCTGCCCATGCAGAGCGTTTATCCGGGAATCACCTCACACGTCCACGTCCAGATGTGCGACAAGCGCGACCCCACACCATACTTCTGATCCACCTTCAAACACCGTCGACAACCTTCATTACCAAAGAGGCTTTTCTCTGAATGTTGGTGGAAAACTTTAGCTCCTCATCCACATAAAAGGATTCTGATGGGCTACATTGGCTACAATAAAACACTTTGAAAACCGTTTATTTCTTTAGTGTCTGTTGTATACGTGCTGCTTCGTAACAGCTATAGTTATAAGTCAGTCATTATTAGGGGCGTGGCCACTTTGACTGGCAGGTGGATGTTGACACAGGTGGCTCTAACTGCTAGCTTCAGCTTAAGTTCAAGTTCAAAGTTTATTCGCCACATGCATGTTGCCCTGCAGTGGAATGAACCCGCCCCCCGACCTTACACACACAACACAGACATCACATGGGGATACAAGTCAGAGAACGGTTGCATTACAGAAAAAACACTGAAATGTACACTACAATGGGAAAGTACAAGAGGAAAAAAAGAGACCTCTGCTCATGCTGGGCTACAGGAGGACAGCATGAGAACAGGAAACAAAAAAACTCCTCTGCACAGAAAGCACATAAATGTCCACAGCACAACATTATAGAGCACGTGACCAGCAACAGGGTTGGGTAGGGGAAAGGAGTAATCCCAGGCAACACAGCAGCCATCCTGCCACTGTGCCGACTCTCCAGCGCGAGCCCAGACTCGCCTCGTGTTCCCAGGAGGCAACAAGCATCGAAGGCATTGGAAGGGGAGGGGGGATGTGTGAGTGCTTATCAGTGTGTGCGTGTCCATAGTTCACCTGAGACAGTGTCCTTCGCCCTATCAGGCTAAGTAAACAGTCTGCTAGCCAATCCAGGTGGCCTGGCATGGGATGGGAAGAATGGTCATCACACAGTTGTTATCAGGGAGTTTTTGTTCGTCTCCAGCCTTGGGCCCGTGCAGCTGGCGCCGTGTTGTCCGCATGTTGATATTGTTGATTTTTCTTTTATGCGAGCAGCTCATGAGAATTTCAAAACTGTTCTTTAACACTCTGACGCTGGTCTCTCAATCTCCCGTTGGAGAGCCGCGAGCCTCCCCATGATGGTATCAAACTTCTGGTCCGTGGTGTTGTCATTCTTGTGATTTTGAGACCCCACAACCGCAGTGAGCCGTTCTGCGATGTGATCCAACTTTTGCACAAGGGTCTCATTTTGAGCAGGCCTCTCTCTGATGTATCCCACCATACGCTCAATGGTGTTGTTTTGAGTCTTCACGGCAGCTGTAAGCATCTCCAAGGTGTTACCCATGCTGCGTTCGTTGTGAGAGGTCGCGCCTCGTCCCATCGCTTCAGTTCCAGCGGGCAGCCTTGGGGGGGTTGAACAGCCGGTTCTGCTCTCTTAATTCTCTGATAAACCAGTGCCAAGCCAACTCCGATCAGCATGAACCCTGTTATCATGGTTCCGAATAGGTAGATATCTTCAGCGTCCTCGATTGACAGTCCCGCCAGACACATGATCCTCCAGTTCTGCCACCCGTCCATTGTGTATCCGGCAGGGAAAGTCCCTCCAGGGCACTCGGGCTCTCCTGAGCCCAGACTTCTCGTTGAGAAAAGGGTGTCAATAGCACTCAGAGACCAGTTGATCAAATCCATAATTTTCTTTAGGTTTTAGAGAACGACAGTGAGAGAGTGTTCCAGGGAAAGTAATACAAACGAGACAAGACAAGGACACAAGAGGCTAAGCAGGGAAGATAAGGGTGAGGAGGAGAGGAGAAAAGTGAGAGCCAAGAAAAGATCTCAACACCTTTATTTAAATGTAAAAAACAACATAAACCAGCGAAAGCCATCACAGTGGCTGCAGTAAGTGCTAAAACTCACTCACCTGAACTTACAGGTTCAGTTTACTTTTATTTAATTTTCAGTTTAATTCAGTTCAATTTTATTTACACAGCGCCAAATCACAACAATAGTTCCCTCAAGGCGCTTTGTATTGT